GATCTCCTTGAATTTAACGTCAATACAGCGGTAAAGAAAACTCTTTCACTAGGTGTGCTAGTCGCCGAAATGCAAAGAATTTTTTGGCGAGCCTGGAAAGATTGGGAAGTTCACTCTTCTTTTCTTTCCAAAAATTTAGAACGTCCACATCTTGTGAATGTCGTTTTCCAAAAAAATTGTGGCATTCATTCTAAGTCACTTAACTTGGAATCATAATTTATGTTTGTTGAATATGTGCCAATTTTGTCAAATTACTTGAATTTAATAATTCCTCTTGATCCTCATTAGCTATATTTACTACCTGATTATCATCATTCTCTATAAGTTTAAGATGCTTTATTATAAATTCTGAAGCTGAGTAATTTTGCTCTATTAAATATTTTGACACAATTGTCAATTTTTGAAATCTTGGATCTAAAAGAGAAGCCAATACCTAGATAATTTTAAATAAAAAATAAAAGAATATATACATATATATTATTACTTGCAGATTACAAACCGGAAATCGTAACGCAAGTTTATTTAGCATATTTTCCTTAAGTGAAATGATTTCAGAACTATCACTATCATTTACTATTAAATGTGTTTCAATTTCACTTCTAAAAGTAACGCCAAGTTTAAAGTAGGCCCTTATGTACTGATAGAAATTCGACAGTTTCTTTAAATTTTGAAAGAAATGCTAATAGTTCTTCTACCAGATCAGAATTATAGTTTGATAATTTGAGAAAGTGCTTCCCAATTCTTTTCAAAACATTAGTAATTAAATTCTTATTTAATCCAGATATGCTTTCTAGCATAATTAATATATTATGCCAACGTGTTGGGACATTTAATTTTAAGGTTTTCATATGCGTGGAATTATTGTTATTATCACTGGAATTGCCAATTTAAAAACGGGTATCTGGGTATAGATCAGTGCTGTCAAGATCTAACATGTCTGATGTTAAATCTATTGTACTTAAGCATTTTCTTTGATCTTCCTCGAATTCAAATTCAACCTCTGCAGTTTTATATCTTAGAGCAGTAATAATTTATCTAATTCTTTTGATGAGATTTTCAGCATGTACCTTTTTAATACCATTTACTGTAACCAGATTGTGTAAACCATGACCCAAACATAAGTGGTGTTCATATTCACCTAATCGAACACTTTTTCTAACATTAGGCCCAGCAAATATGACCATTTGTATTTTTTTCTTTTTTAAATTAAATTCCTCTTCTATTTTATCAATCTCAGTTAGAGTCTCAGCTGTGTGTTTTTGGGTTATATCATGGTTGCTAAAGTAAAGTAAATCATTTTAAAATTATCATTTATTAAATGTTAAATGTAATATAGTTTCCTTCTGTATTGATCTGTCCACATATCAAATGTAATTGAGCAAAATTTTGGCCCTGAGTTAATTTGTTCTTGTACATGTGCTTTCATTGCTAGGTAAACATCATTAAGAGCAGTACAGCTTAGTGTTGTCCTGTCTGGCAAATCAAAATTAGAATTGATAACTTGATATCTCTAAAATCGATATTTTGAAATTTATAACAGAAAATCATTATATCTTAAATTTATATTAGACAACAAATTAGGGAGAATTTATCAAGAAGAATAAATTTGTTAAAAATTTATTCTGGGTTGCAAAGCTACACAAAAACAGAGATGATTAAAACAAATAAATATGCAATTATCCAATATCATTTAAATCATATATGTCTATGTGTAATCATATTGTTAGCATGGCTATAAAATTCAACTATTGTAAATCTTCCTCAGTCAAAAAAGACATAAAGGTAGATCTATTATTATAATAGATAATATATCTATAAATTTGATACCTTCAAAAAATCTTTTATTCCTATATTATCAATTGATTGAAAATATAATAAGTCAGCACAACATAATAACACATAATTTCTTGCTAGAAGCCATTTTTAGAGGTTTTAGAATTTACCTGGAATTTTGGTTTGGATATAAAATTCTTGCGATTTTGATGAAGTATCTGCTTTATTATTATGTTCAAAAGTCAAGTGTTTTAACAAATTTCCTGTGCTAATGTTTATTGAAAAGTTTTGAATTTTATAGCTAGATTTACAAAAAATATATTTTAATTTATTAAAGATTTTGGCTATATATGAGAAAATAATCTTTAAAAAAAAATATACTGTGAAAATGGCTTATTTGCATTATCATCGTCTCCAATAGCCTTTTCTAAGCAACAATTGCAGTATAATTTGTCAGAATTTATGGAAATTGTTTTATTATCTCTTTTTAAGTGTAAGTAACCAAAAAATTTCCAGACTATGGATTTTTTATTATCCAGAGTTTGGATACTAAAATTATTTATAGAATTATTAAATGTAGTTGCATCCATTTTAAAAATATATAAAATTATGGTAACTTTTGGAATTTTAGATTTATTGAATTCTATAATGACGTCAATATAATTATGATTTTAAAATAGTAGAAAATAAAAATTCATCAAAATCCTGATTGACATTAAAAAAATTACAACAGTGATGTTGACCAATTATTAGAATAAAAAAGTATAAAATATGAAAGTAATTTCTGCGCCGGCGTGATTTTTTTAAATGGCGGCGTTTTCGGCATAACCAAAAAAGGTTGGCCGGCGCACAAGTGTACTAATACTTAGTATATAAAGCTAAAATTGAAAACACTAATTCCGATTACTAACTAACATATAACTTACATTATAAGTTTGATAATCTGTTTTAAATAAATTTTATGAAATCTTAATTTTTTTAAAAACTAGCATAACGATTAAATGTTTAATATTTTGTTTCATAATAATAATAATAATAATAAAAACACTCAAGAAATTAAAATTAACCTGAGAAAAAAACCTAAGTAAACCCAACCAAAAGAACCAGAGTTTTTATAATATTTTTATTCAGTTTGAAGATTAAATGTTCATATGATAACTTTGAAAGTTTTTGAGCCCTAAATATCTCCCTGATTTTACTTAAACTAGATATGGGCTTTAGGTCTGATATATATTTTTTTATGAGAATTTATGACCATATATCTCATTTTACTTTATAGGGTCTTAACACAAAGAATTGCGCTATTGAAATTTTAAGAGCTGAGGGGGTGGGAATACCATATTTGTCAATATATATATTCATATAGTATCTATTCTATAATATCATTTTATATTTTAGTGTTAGGGAGTCTAAAGGGCTTTGATACTTTATTAAACTCTCTTGTGTATCAGATTGTCTGTTACTATATTTTATTCATCATCATACTTTAATAATTTTAAGTAAAATTCCAATTTATTTGGCACTCTTCGTAGAATCTCATAGGCAAAGAGAAAATATAATTCAGGTATAGCGATTTTAATGATGCTTAAAACAATTATACTTTCTTATAGTATGATAAAGAGTTAAATTTATTTTTATTTCTTTAAAATAGAATTTTATAAGTTCCATATGGTAAGACGATCTGACAATATAGGGCTGCGAATTAACTAAGTTATGCGCTATGGTTTCATGTCTGAAAAATATTTTGCTTCGGGCCGGGGCTTACAAATTTCTGTCCCAAGTCCAGTTAAAGTCTGAATTTGAACATTATTTAAAAAAAGTTAATACCCTATAAATCCATACAATATATTTACTTGATTAAACTATGCCCTAATCTCAGGACGGCTGCCGCAAACGAATTCGCAATTGTTGCATCTATATTGTCATCATAACCCGAAAAATAACCCGTGTCTGCCAATTCTAATTTGTGTTTTTGAATCTCTATAGGTCCAAGCAAGATAGGCAACCATTCCTTATAAGTGATATGTTGTAACATGGCTCCAACAATTTTTCTTGTCGTTTGAAAACTTTCATTATTTATTGGTAATATATTGATAATAACTTCTAATTAGTAAATCATCATAAGAAATAACTTTTACTTAATATCAATAATAGGTGGATATAATATACCAATCGACCTATGTCAATAAATTAACATAAACTAATTTTATACCCTTTTTCAGCAGACCAATGGGGATTAATATGTTGCAACCAATCAGCAATTCTGTTATGTTCTCTAAGCCAAATCGTATGCAATGCAGTTAAAGGGGTATTTTCATTACTTCTTTCATCGCCTATTTTAAATTTCATAATTTATAATACTCAAAACATGTATCTTTTATATTTGAATCTTTACATTTCCTTAAAATTACCTGCTCTAAAACAATGATAACGAGCCCTTCGTGCATATATACACTCCTCAATTTGTATATTACCTTGAGCTGGTAATAACTCTCTCATTAAATGGTTGAATGGATGAGTTTGAACTTTCATTTTAGCTATAATAAATTAAACAGTAATATTTTATATGTAAAATACGTGTTGTTGTGTCTCTCAAAGCCAAATTATCTTCAATTATGCTTCCATATAGCCCTGAGCCATCTAAATATGAAGAAACTTGATTCATTTGCTCTCGAGGACCTATATATATCTATGGATTTTATTGAGATTAGAAAATAATTAATATACCGATTTTGCAATCGGGTCTTAAAGCTGGAAAAGATCTAACGGCATTCATACATGTTTGATTAAATTTTGAAAAGAAAGGATCATCTGGAGGAAATGGCATACCATAACATAATGGGTGCTTAAATTGGAATATACAACAATCTAGTTTTGGAGATTGTTTTCCTAATATTTAAAATGTTTTTATTAGAAGGGTTGTTTACCGCCAACAGATACAAATAATCGCAATAGCATCATAGGCTAGCATTCGAACGGAATATAAATAGAGAATGGGAATTGGCCAAAAAATAATTTTTGAATCAGTCAACGTTAAATGACTGGAATTATTCTTATAATTAATATTACCAGTAGGAAAAGGAGTGTGCGTAATATCATGATCAATAAATTGACCAAATGTCATCGTAATAACTGTCATATCATTGTGAAACTTGTCGACATTGCTAAACACATTTTTAGTTATCAATCTAGGATTTGGTAATGCTCCTCCATTTTTAGCGATTCGAGGATTATTAAGTCCTTGATAAAAAATGAGATTATTTTAGAAATGCAGGTTTGTATGAATATATTTTATGTTAAAACAAAATTTATGTAACCATCGCCATAATCGGGTTCAATAAGTCTTTTGTGGGGCATATTTGACATTCCCCAATGTTTATTCTTTAAATTATTGCAAAATCCATCTAATTCCTTTTCATTTTTATTACATGTATGAATTCGCAAATTTTTTTCAATTGTACATTTCTGACCTAAAGTTGTGCCAGATATATTAAGGGATAATAAATAGGGTCCAATCTCGTATTTATTTAATTTTCCCCTTAATTTACATGAAGTTATAAGACAAGTAAAAGTGAATCATATTTACTTGAGGAGGGATTTCAGGGCATCTGCAACAAAAGCATATTCTAAGGCAATATTTCCATATATGGTAAATGGAGTCAGAGGATATGTGAATTCTCTAATTTTTAAATTGTCGATACCTTGTTGTATATAAAGAGTGGTTGTGTATACAAGTTTTAACACAAATATTTACTTTTATCGTATCTTAGAATGGAAAAATATTCTCGTATCTTGTTATTTACTGATGCTCCTCTTGTTATAGCACTATGTATATCAGATTGATGTAGATAGACACAATAGTTATTAGATGTTAAAAATGTCAACACTATAATCAAATAGAGGTATCGCAGATGAACCATGTCTATTATCTAATGTAAGCATTTTATACGTATAATAACTTGTATAACAAAACATCATTTAACTATTAGTTATTAAGGTTGATAAGTAGCGACTGAGCCATCACTCACTTATCGCTCTTAATTACTACGATTTAAACATTTCCTCGTTTTTGCCCTATGAAATAACTTCCATGGCGACAGGCAGGGGATTTGAAATAGAACACTGACATACAGGGTTTCCCATTCAAAAAAGGAAAAGTCTCAATCATAAAAGGAAAAGGGTCAATCATAAAAGGAAAAGGTCCAAACAAAAAAGGAAAAATGTCAATCAAAAAAGGAAAATTCCCAAAAAGGGAGGAAAAAGTCCGATCAAAAAAGGAAAAGTGTCAAACAAAGGAAAAGTGTCAATCGAAAAAAGAAAATTCCCAAAAGGAAAGGAAAAATGTCAATCAAAAAAGGAAAATTCCCATTCAAAAAAGGAAAATCGTAATATTTTAAATTTTTGTCAATTTTTCTTAAATTTTTATTTTTTTTTGTTATTCCTTCGTAATTTATTTCTAAATTTTTGCGATTTCTTTACAATTACTGTTCTCTATTTATTTCTAACTTTTTGCGATTTTCTTTACTTTTATTTTTCTTACTATATCTTCTCTCAATTTATTTTTATTCTCATTTTTAATAATTCTTTTTTATTTTTAAAAATAATTTATAAATTTAGGTTCATTTTTTAACAATTTCTTTATTTTTTTTTTCATCATACATACAATATGCTTTTTATGATTTTTTCATTGTAATCTTTTACATACATTTCTAACCTTTTCAATCTCTTTAAGTCATTTTTAATCTTTATTTTTTTGAGCATTTCTAAATTTTTTCTTCTCATTTTTGATAATTATTTTTTTAAAATAATATTTAATGTTTTTGGCAGACAATATAATTACAATTGCTAAATTAAATTAATCGTTTGGTTATAATGTACCTTTTTAAAATTAAATAAGTTTGAACTGTAATACCAAACGATATGTAAATTAATAAAATATAATCATTTTTAAATTCTTATTTTTAAAATTATCAAAAATGAGAAGAAAAAATTGAGAAATGCTCAAAAAAAATAAAGATTAAAAATGACGAGATTGAAAAGGTTAAAAATGTATGTAAAAGATTACAATGAAAAAATCATAAAAAGCATATTGTATGTATGATGAAAAAAAAACGTAAAGAATTGTTAAAAAAATGGACCTAAATTTATAAATTTATTTTAAAAATACAAAAGAATTATTAAAAATGAGAAGAAAAATAAATTGAGAGAAGATATAGTAAGAAAAATTTATGTAAAGAAAATCGTATAAAGTTAGAAATAAATTGAGAACAGTAAGAAAAAATCGTAAAGAAATCGCAAAAATTTAGAAATAAATTAAGGAATAACAAAAATAAATAAAAATTTAAGAAAAATTGACAAATATTTAAAATATTACGATTTTCCTTTTTTGAATGGGAATTATTAAGAAAAACATAATAAATATAATATATGGTAAAATACCAAAAAAACCTACGATGGATGAGATATTATAGAGTATTAGGAATTAAATTAATTATATGTTTTACGTGTACGTCAATTAATAAGTAATTCATAGTGAGCTTTTAACTTTTTTAACTGGTCTTAGGTCAACCCAGACCGTCGGTCTGGGATGCCGGACTGGGTGTAACAGTCGGACTCATTAGTTAGATAAGACCTGACCGTTGACGCACTATGCTTAAAACAAAAGGAAGGAAATTTTAATGTCACGAAATATTTTTTAAATTCAAATTAAGCCCTAAAATTTCTTATGAAAATGAAAGCTATTTAATAATATATTAATGTATTTGTTTAAAGTGAGTGCTAATTTTAAAGAACTTTCAAAATTGCAGCATAAGTATCTAGCACGCCCCTGGTTGGATATTTGGGCTATATTAATACTGGAATTATTTCCACAATATGAGTTTGGAACTGAAACCAGAATCTGGCAACCATCTTTAAGATTTATTGGAACTATAACCAAAATCAGTTCATTTCTTAGAACAATTTCTAACAAAAGTACAAATAATTTATTTAAAATGTTATTGATTTTCTATGTAAGATAATTTTCTGAAACAATTTAGTAATTAATTTACTTTTCCATCAATATGTTATTTTTTCAACTTTAAATCATTTTTTGAGCACATTTTTATAAATTTAATGATTTTACAGTGAATACCTACCCTATGAATTTCAGACGATTTTCCAGTTAAATTTTGAGTCATTTATAACTTCTATGAAAAATATATGAACAGAAAAAAATAATATAAATTATATTAAGATCAAAGGTTATTGAGAAAAACTTTCTAAAATTGCAGAGTAGGTTTTCTAGAGAAGCTGGAATATAATATAAATCGACGCGAACATATATTTATAATATGATAAATTGAACAAAAAGAAATTATTCACTGCTATAACATTATAATTCATTTCATTATTTCAATTCATTCTGATGTGAATCTCGGATATATTTTCTGGTGTAGGGTACTTCAAAAAAAAAATAGAACACCTGTGCCGCTTAGAATTTTTCCTCAGTCTCCGAATTAACGATGTCGTGTTTCACAATTTTTTTTAAAGAATAATATTATTATCTTAATTATATTAAATCTAAAGTTTAATTTTTCTCGGAAGAATTCTAAGGGATAGTTAAATATTGAAAAGAATTTATTTATTGTGCAAGGGAGGAACCTATTCCAACAATTTTCTAATGACATATTGCACATCTTAAATAGGCTAATTTTATTATAAAATTTATTATATCTGAAATTAGAATGAAGTAGTTCTTTGTGTGCTTATTTTACTATTTCAAAATGTTTTGATATTAGGGGTTCAATTAATATATAAGAATTCGAGAATTTCTAAATTTACTAAATTCTATCAAAGATCAATAATGTGATAACAATAGTTATTTATTTTTAATAAAATTAACCTTTACATAGTTCTTCCCATGATGGAAATATATAAAAAAATTGATAAACATTTTTTACATATTTAGAAAATTTTATCACCACATTTATTTATATATAACATTTTTAGAGTATCCACATGTGATGAATTGCTAACCTTGATTATTATAATCAAAAATATTAATTTTCATGAAAAAATTTCACCAACATTATTCATTTATTATATAATACTGTTGAATTTTACTTTTTCTGAAGTTTATTAGAATTATTAAAGGATATCCAATACAAATAAAATTACACAAATAAAATTATTAAATTATTGTCTTGCAAAATTTATTATTTTAAAAAATCCTTTTGCGACATCCCTTATATGAAAAAAAAATAAATATAAAGCCCCTAGGTGTTATATTTAAAATGTTTAAACTCATAAAAATACAAAAAATTATTTAAAATATTTACTGTTTAAAAGAAAATGCAAATGTCTCAACAATAGGATATAAAAACCAATTACATCATTATACATGTTACCATAAAATAGAAATATGCAGACTTAATATTCTGAGATATAATAAGAGAAAGATCAATCTTCAATCATTTTAATTTTTTATTAAAAGAAATCTAAAAATTTGAAGAATTGTGATTTCTTTTTGGTAATTGGCAATAAAATGGGGGGGGGGGGGGATTTTTAAAAGAAATTTTTGCAGCCCGGACCTATCACAAACAAGTTTTTTTTATTTATTCCAAAAAGCCTGGCCTAACCAAAATAAAAATTAATTGTCCACCCGACCTGGCCCTAATTTATTTATTATAATCAATAATTATAAAAATAATATTCTACAAAGAAAAAATATTGGCACCTTGTTTTTTGCTTGCAAAAATTAAATTATATCAATTTATTTCACAAAGATATTTAAAAATTTAAGCCTAGTGTAAAGTTATAGAATGACGGCATTGGTAAATTGACTGTGATTCGCAATATCGAAAATTTGAATTTATACCAAAGTAATGGTTCACATAATGTAAAACATTTATCGTTATGTTAATGTTAAATATTGCGAATTTAATAAATATATCATAGACCTGTAGGCCCGGCCCTAAACCCGGCCCGGGCAGGGCCGGGCCGTATTTTAAATTTTTTAAATATACCCGGGTCGGGCCTAAAAAATTTTTTTTAAACATATCCGGGCCGGGCCTTAAAATTTTTTTTAAAATATATCCGGGCCGGGCTTAAGATTGTTAAACCCGGGCCGGGCCTTAATATTTTTTATAAAAATTTTTACATTATGAGTTAATGGTTATAAGATTATATTATATTATAGTTATGATTAATATAATATTGGGTGATGGTTAACACTACCTAACAACCCACAGATCGATCTAATTATTAATTTCCTGCAAATTTATTCAAAGTATTAATATATTTTTTTATAATTCATATCTAAATTTTTACAACATATTTTACCAAAACAATCAAATAAAGGAATATAATAAGCCCCAATATTCAAGTATTATTAATATATTTTTTTATAATTCATATCTAAATTTTTAGAATATATTTTACCAAAACAATCATATAAAGGATTATCACTTCTTAAAGTTTATAATTGATTTTACTTAATATAAAGCATTTTTTAATTGAAAAATTTGTTTTACACAAGTATCATTTTATTTCTCTTTTTCTCTGTCCCAAATTCAAGCAATTACGTATGTAGTCAGGGACAGATCGCAAAATGACGGAAAACTATATAAAAGATTATATTAAATTACAAGAAGCTCAGGTGAAATACCATCGACCAGTCAAATTACGACTGTTGTTAAACAAACTGAATCGTTTTATGACAAATGGGGCGATGGTAATTCTGGTAATATGTCAATACCCGATGATGAATATTATAATTACATAAATAATAGATAAAACATTTAAGGTGGATAATTTGTTAGTGGTGGGCGGCTCATCAAAGCGAATTTCCAATTTTAGCAAAATTGGCAATTCCTGCTTTAAGTGCAAGCTGTGAGCGGAATTTTTCCACTACTGGCAGAATTCTTGAAGAAAGAAGAAGTAATCTTCAACCTGAAAAGGTAGATATGCTTTTCTTTCTTCATGATAATTTGTGAATTTCTAATATCTTTCTTGAGTATAGGGTTTCGTCAATCATGCTGGTTTTTTACTTTGCAAACTGTCAAATATTTATTGCATTTATTATATTTACCTTGAGTCATGAAAGTTTTTAATCCAACATTTTTCATTATTTTTTTTTACAATATTATATAATACAATTATCTTCTTTTGTTAAAAATTTATATTATAAAATAAATTATATTAATATTGTGCAATTAGATTATATTTTCAAAATACTATTTATTATACATGCATTTTTTTAAATAGCGATTTATTTTTATTTTATAAATTAAATAGTAAATTAAATAGAATATATTCGCAAGGTCTAAAAGTCGAAAGGCTGCATGATACGAAAGGCTAAAAAATAATATTGAAAATAAAAATAACAAAGAAAATGATTAATGTGTAATTTGATTGATTTATTGCTTTTTTTACGAGAAAAATATTATAATAACATTACATTATAATATATTTAAAAAAATGGAAATTTTAAGATCTTTTCAATTTTTTTATTAATTCTTTGAAATAAATTGCGGTTTTAATTTTATTTAATTTTATTAATTTTATTAATTTTATTAATTTTATTAATTTTTAATTTATATTTTTAATTAAATTATATTTATTTATTTAAAAAAAATGGAATATAATATATTAAAAAATGGAAATTTTAAGATCTTTTCAATTTTTAATAATTCTTTGAAATAAATTGCGGTTTTATTTTTATTTTTATTTAATTTTTATTTTTAATTAAATTATATTTGGTTATTTTAAAAAAATGGATTATAATATTTCAATTTTATTATTAATTTTTGAAATAAATTGCGATTATAATTTTATTTAATTTTATTAATTTTATTAATTTTTAATTTATATTTTTAATTAAATTATATTTGGTTATTTTAAAATAATGGAATTTTTAAAATTATATGTATATTCTATTTAAGTTTTTTTTCAAAACTAAATTGATAGTAAGTATAACGATATTGTGAGTACTGGATTAGGGAAAAGGCTAACATCTTATATGCAATTTTGAATATTTTTATATCATTCTACTCAGAATTAAATTTCCTATCCAATTATGCTTAGATGTATTTTTTTACGTTTCCGGTTCAAAAAATAACATTTTTGTCGCGAAAACGTTCAAAGGGAAAAGGCTAACATCTTTAGTTTAATTTTATAAATTTTTATATCATTGAACTCAGAATTAAATTTCCTATCTAAATATGCTTTGATGTGATTTTTAAGTTATCGGTTCAAAAAAAAAACGTTGGAAGGGAAAAGGCTAACATCTTATATGCAATTTTGAATATTTTTATATCATTCTACTCAGAATTAAATTTCCTATCCAATTATGCTTAGATGTATTTTTTTACGTTTCCGGTTCAAAAAATAACATTTTTGTCGCGAAAACGTTGAAAGGGAAAAGGCTAACATCTTAAGTTTAATTTTATAAATTTTTATATCATTGAACTCAGAATTAAATTTCCTATCTAAATATGCTTTGAAGTAATTTTTTACGTTATCGGTTCAAAAAATAAATTTTAAAAATTTTTTTGTGGTAAAAACGTTGGAAGGGAAAAGGCTAACATCTTATATGCAATTTTGAATATTTTTATATCATTCTACTCAGAATTAAATTTCCTATCCAATTATGCTTAGATGTATTTTTTTACGTTTCCAGTTCAAAAAATAACATTTTTGTCGCAAAAACGTTCAAATAGAAAAGGTTAACATCTTAAGTTTAATTTTATAAATTTTTATATCATTGAACTCAAAATTAAATTTCCTATCTAAATATGCTTTGATGTAATTTTTTACGTTATCGGTTCAAAAAATAAATTTTAAAAATTTTTTTGTGGTAAAAACGTTGGAAGGGAAAAGGCTAACATCTTATATGCAATTTTGAATATTTTTATTCCATTCTACTCAGAATTAAATTTCATATCCAAAATCAGCTTAGATGTAATTTTTTACGTTTCCGGTTCAAAAAATAACATTTTTGTCGCGAAAACGTTCGAAGGGAAAAGGCTAACATCTTAAGTTTAATTTTATAAATTTTTATATCATTGAACTCAGAATTAAATTTCCTATCTAAATATGCTTTGATGTATTTTTTACGTTATCGGTTCAAAAAATAAATTTTAATAATTTTTTTGTGGTAAAAACGTTGGAAGGGAAAAGGCTAACATCTTATATGCAATTTTGAATATTTTTATATCATTCTACTCAGAATTAAATTTCCTATCCAATTATGCTTAGATGTATTTTTTTACGTTTCCGGTTCAAAAAATAACATTTTGGTCGCGAAAATGTTCGAAGGGAAAAGGCTAACATCTTAAGTTTAATTTTATAAATTTTTATATCATTGAACTCAGAATTAAATTTCCTATCTAAATATGCTTAGATGTATTTTTTTACGTTTCCGGTTCAAAAAATAACATTTTTGTCGCAAAAACGTTCAAATGGAAAAGGCTAACATCTTAAGTTTAATTTTATAAATTTTTATATCATTGAACTCAGAATTAAATTTCCTATCTAAATAAGCTTTGATGTAATTTTTTAAGTTTCGGTTCAAAAAATAAATTTTAAAAATTTTTTTGTGGTAAAAACGTTGGAAGGAAAAAAGGCTAACATCTTATATGCAATTTTGAATATTTTTATATCATTCTACTCAGAATTAAATTTCCTATCCAATTATGCTTAGATGTATTTTTTACGTTTCCGGTTCAAAAAATAACATTTTTGTCGCGAAAACGTTCGAAGTGAAAAGGCTAACATCTTAAGTTTAATTTTATAAATTTTTATATCATTGAACTCAGAATTAAATTTCCTATCTAAATATGCTTTGATGTATTTTTTTACGTTATCGGTTTAAAAAATAAATTTTAATAATTTTTTTGTGGTAAAAACGTTGGAAGGGAAAAGGCTAACATCTTATATGCAATTTTAAATATTTTTATATCATTCTACTCAGAATTAAATTTCCTATCCAATTATGCTTAGATGTATTTTTTTACGTTTCCGGTTCAAAAAATAACATTTTTGTCGCGAAAACGTTCGAAGGGAAAAGGGTAACATCTTTAGTTTAATTTTATAAATTTTTATATCATTGAACTCAGAATTAAATTTCCTATCCCTTTTCCCTTCCAACGTTTTTACCACAAAAAAATTATTAAAATATATTTTTTGAACCGATAACGTAAAAAAATACATCAAAGCATATTTAGATAGGAAATTTAATTTTGAGTTCAATGATATAAATATTTATAAAATTAAATTTAAGATGTTAGCCTTTTCCCTTCGAACGTTTTCGCGACAAAAATGTTATTTTTTGAACCGGAAACGTAAAAAAGTACATCTAAGCATAATTGGATAGGAAATTTAATTCTGAGTAGAATGATATAAAAATATTCAAAATTGCATATAAGATGTTAGCCTTTTCCCTTCCAACGTTTTTACCACAAAAAAATTTTTAAAATTTATTTTTTGAACCGAAACTTAAAAAATCACATCAAAGCATATTTAGATAGTAAATTTAATTCTGAGTTCAATGATATAAAAATTTATAAAATTAAACTAAAGATATTAGCCTTTTCCCTTCGAACGTTTTCGCGACAAAAATGTTATTTTTTGAACCGGAAAAGTAAAAAATACATCTAAGCATAATTGGATAGAAAATTTAATTCTGAGTAGAATGATATAAAAATATTCAAAATTGCATATAAGATGTTAGCCTTTTCCCTAATCCAGTACTCACAATATCGTTATACTTACTATCAATTTAGTTTTGAAAAAAAACTTAAATAGAATATACATATAATTTTAAAAATTCCATTATTTTAAAATAACCAAATATAATTTAATTAAAAATATAAATTAAAAATTAATGAAATTAAATAAAATTATAATCGCAATTTATTTCAAAGAATTAATAAAAAAATTGAAATATTATAATCCATTTTTTTAAATAACCAAATATAATTTAATTAAAAATAAAAATTAAATAAAAATAAAACCGCAATTTATTTCAAAGAATTAATAAAAAAATTGAAAAGATCTTAAAATTTCCATTTTTTTAATATATTATATTCCATTTTTTTTAAATAAATAAATATAATTTAATTAAAAATATAAATTAAAAATTAATAAAATTTAGTGCTGTAAACATTTTAAAAAAAATCGAACGCGTTCGCGTTCAACGTTCATTGACAAAAATCGAACGCGTTCACGTTCACGTTCAAATTCAAAAAAAAGAACGCGTTCAAGTTCATGAACGCGTTCATATGTTCAAAATTTTATGATAAATTTTTTCAAAATTTAATATAAATAAATGCCTTATATTTTTCAACACAATATATTAGCCATGATAAAAAATAATAGTTTTATTTTGATAGTATAATTATATGTACAATATAATAGAGCGATAAAAAAATAAATTTATAAAAAAAATTTCTTATTAATTTTTAATAATAATTGCTTTTCAAAATTTTCATCTGATAGGCATGAACGCTTGTCAGTTAATATAGCGTTAGCTATACTAAAAACTCGCTCAACAAGGGCAGATGAAGGGATTGCGGTGTTATACTTGATAAACAATTCTTTTAAAAGGGGGAATTTATTAAAAACATTTAATGTTTTATCCATTGTTTCAAAAAATTGAGCTATGTTATCATCCTCCAATCTGCCCTCTTCTTCCTCGTCAAAAAAAAGGATATCTCGGAATTGATTTTAAAACAGTGAAATATTTTTGATATTTGGGCCATGGTAATTCTAATTCATCTAATATTGAATTTTGATTTTCAGAATCTGATGATGAAATATTTATATCCATGCAAATGCTAATCTATTAAATTAAAATATAAAATATTCAAATTAATAAACTTTAATCTTATCTTCTCTAGCAGTAGCACTATGGTACGTTAATTGCAATAAGAAAAAGGAAAAAGTAAAAACAGCTGATTAAAAAAATATAAGACTTTTTTGTTAAAAAATTAGATTAAATATTAATTTTTCAAATAAATAAAAATATAAGCTTTTTTGTTAAAAAATGCGGATTAATATTAATTTTTCAAATAAATAAAAATAAAAAGTGTTTTTAAAATTGAACGAACGTAAAATTGAACGCGTTCATCAAAGAAAAGGAACGCGTTCACGTTCAAAGTTCGTCAAAAAAAAGGAACGCCGTTCATCACCTTTTTTCAAAAAAACGAACTTCGTTGAACGCGTTCGTTTACAACACTACAAATAAAATTAAAACCGTAATTTATTTCAAAGAATTAATAAAAAAATTGAAAAGATCTTAAAATTTCCATTTTTTTAATATATTATAATGTAATGTTATTATAATATTTTTCTCGTAAAAAAAGCAATAAATCAATCAAATTACACATTAATCATTTTCTTTGTTATTTTTATTTTCAATATTATTTTTTAGCCTTTCGTATCATGGGTATCCCGTCTTTACAGAGAATCTTTTATAGAGAATGCAAATATAGAGAAACTTTTATAGAGAAAACAATTGTAGAGAATGTCGTTTATAAAGAATATCGTTTATAGAGAATGATTTTATAGAGAATTTATTTTATAGAGAAACTTTTAAAGAGAAATCAATTATAGAGAATGTCGTTTATAGAGAATCTCATTTATAGAGAATGATTTCGTAGAGAATCTCGTTTATAGAGAATGATTTTATAGAGAATTTATTTTATAGAGAAACTTTTAAAGAGAAAACAATTATAGAGAATCTCATTTATAGAGAATGATTTTATAGAGAATCTCGTTTATAGAGAATGATTTTATAGAGAATTTATTTTATAGAGAAACTTTTAAAGAGAAAACAATTATATAGAATGTCGTTTATAGAGAATGATTTTATAAAGAATGATTTTATAGAGAATGATTTTATAGAGAATGATTTTATAGAGAATGATTTTATAGAGAATGATTTTATAGAGAATGATTTTATAGAGAATGATTTTATAGAGAATGATTTTATAGAGAATGATTTTATAGAGAATGATTTTATAGAGAATGATTTTATAGAGAATGATTTTATAGAGAATGATTTTATAGAGAATGATTTTATAGAGAATGATTTTATAGAGAATGATTTTATAGAGAATGATTTTATAGAGAATGATTTTATAGAGAATGATTTTATAGAGAATGATTTTATAGAGAATGATTTTATAGAGAATTTATTTTATAGAGAAACTTTTATATAGAAAACAATTATATTTAAATGTCGTTTATAGAGAATCTCGTTTATAGAGAATGATTTTATAGAGAATATTTTACAGAGAATTGTTTTACAGAGAATTATTTTATAGAGAATATTTTACAGAGAATTGTTTTAGAGAGAATTATTTTATAGAGAAGGATTTTATAAAGAATAAAACAATTATAGAGAATCTCATTTATAGAGAATGATTTTATAGAGAATCTCGTTTATAGAGAATGATTTTATAATTTATTTTATAGAGAAACTTTTAAAGAGAAAACAATTATATAGAATGTCTTTTCTAGAGAATGATTTTATAGAGAATTTATTTTATTGAGAAACTTTTATATAGAGAAAACAATTATATTTGAATGTCGTTTATAGAGAATCTCGTTTATAGAGAATGATTTTATAGAGAATATTTTACAGAGAATTGTTTTACAGAGAATTATTTTTTAGAGAATATTTTACAGACAATTGTTTTAGAGAGAATTATTTCATAGAGAAGGATTTTATAGAGAATAATTTTATAGAATTTTATAGAGAATGATTTTACAGAAAATGAATTAAGTATTATTTTAGAAATAAATTTTCTCAAAAAAAAACAAGCCATATGCCTTCATATAAATTCTCGGAACCCTTGAATAAAAAAAAGGAAAAAAATAATCTTAAAAGAAATTATTCACATTCCTGATTTGTATTGCTTATGAATAATTATGATAATATTTTTGAGTTTCCTGTTGTTATTTTTTTTAAAATACGGAACAATTAGAAGTAGTAATGCTTAAATTATGAAAATGTTTCCTTCTTTATCAGTTTCTATTAGTGCTTTGCTTTAACTAGTAGAGTAGCCATTAAAAAAAACTATTAGCAACAAAGCCAGCCTTACACCAATTGTTTTAGAAAATTTTGTCAATATTTAGTTGCTTTGTGCATTATTTTAATCTGCTTAGCCCGGCCCCGATTTTTTAAAAATATATTATATATTTTTAATTTGCCTAGATAATAATGGTGATTTAAAATATTTGGTTTTAAAATATATGGCCCGGCCCTAGTTTTTTCAGAAAAAGCTTTTTTTGACCCGGCCCGTGTATTTAAAAAAATAAAATTTTAGGCTCGGCCCGGGTATATTTAAAAAAATTAAAATACTGCCCGGGCTTAAGGTCGGGCCAGGTCTCTGATTTATAGTGCGCTTTTATAATTTCCCTAATAAATCTAATTTTACCAATTCCGAAGAGAATCTACCCTGGGAATTTCATACGATTGCGCCAATATTTTTTTGTATTTAATAATTTTATTTTATTTTATTTTTTCATTTTAAATCATAAATTGAGCGCGTTTTATTAAATTTTAAATTTGATTTCACTGAAAATGCATTATAATTGTTGTAACTGTTGAAAAAAAGAAGAAATAAATTTAATATAATACATCAAATGTCAGTTATTTTCTGACAGGGGAATTAAGTTTTTCCTTGGGGGAAGAAGAGGAGATAAGGATCACGGGGTGTGTTTCATTGTTCGGAAAAACCCGTAGTGGGAGATTGGGAGATATTGGATTTGATGTCAGCTGTGGACCTTTGGATGTCATCTGTGGACCTTTGAGAAATGAAGAATTGGATAATTATATTATATTATATTTTTCTACATATTTTATGTTAGATTGTTGTGGTTTTATTGGAAATAAAGATAATTATGTTAAATATGGATCGTTGTTAATGGTCAATGGTATTTATTTAATATTATTAGAAAGAATTATTTTGGGTTGTTAAGTTATATAATTGAGAGTAAAGGGCATTTTTATTATATTTAAGGTAACTTTTTTTATTGTTGCCAGCTGACCAAGATCGAAAGAGTGGGTTGATTCGGTTTTAAAGTAAAACAAAATTTTTGTTGTATACATATTACATAAGAGAAATTTTGACAATGCAATGTACTACAAACTATACAGATACATGAGTTTAAGGATTTCTATACTTTTATATTTAACTTAAAAGGTGTAAGATAGAAAGTATGTAATGAGTATTAGGCAGAAATATGGAAATAAGATCAGGAATTTAAGACAGTAATATTTGGTATATTATCTTATGTCTAGATGTATATGGTACATACAATCTTGATCATTATTTGGTATGCCTTAAAACTCATTGAATGGTGTTATAGGTATTCCGTCATAGGAAGCTGAAAGACCTCATGAACAGCAGGACAGAAAGGATTGTTAAATATTTAAATATGTGAAATTTATGAAAATATATATGGATATAGACTTTTGTAATAAAGTGTGTATTATTTAATTATGCATTTTGGGTTTGTAAAGGGATGAATATGTATGGGATAATTTATTATTAATTAAGGTTAATATATTGCATAGGTAACATATGATATATTTAACTATGAATTATTATTTATAATGTTAATATATTGTATAGGTAACATATGATATATTTAATTATGAATGAGAATTTGAAGGAATTGAACTTATGTAATATGTATACAACAAAAATTTTGTTTTACTTTAAAACCCAAAGCTACATCTTTATAAATATTTCCTAAAATGAATATAAAAATCCATCTTTAGGTATTAAAAATAATTGCGAAACTTGGCCGAACAAAGATTAAAAATAAAATTACAATACATACGTATATAAATACATTTAATATTATATATGAAGGAACAAATATATAATATGTAGAAAATACAATATTTTCCATCTAGGAATTACTCAGTATCCTAAGAAAAATATACCATTTCTACCTAACTCTGTCATCACAATTAGCACAAATTCACAAAAATGTAGAATGCAAAGTAACAAAAATTGATAATATAATGGGCTATATGGTATATATGTAAAGAATTTTTAATATACCTTCACAATATAAAATAATTTGAGTCTTTTCTTTAAAAATATGTTCATAATTAAATAGTAAAATGTGATGTGTTATAAAATTATTAAAAAGATTTAAAAAAATGTATTATGCAGCATAAATTTACAAAAAAAAACTTTCCCCAGTATGCAAACTAAACAATATTCTCACTTCAAGGCATACCCATCAACACGGGCTGACCTTATCTGTAAAAATATTTTCCCTTCACATCATTGCATACCACACAAATAATATAATAATTGCAAATAAAACTTCTTATAAAAATTTATAATTTAAAAAAAAATATATATATTAAATATAAAGATTTCATAATTTGGAAAAAAAATATTATACACCATCTAATGTATCATACAAATTCCTATCCAATTTATATATACACTAAATGCAGACACTAAATCAAAATAACTATCCACATCTAACATTATAGATATTATTCTGACTTCATCATACTTCAATTCCTTCAAATTCGTAAAACAAAATTTTTGTTGTATACATATTACATAAGAGAAATTTTGACAATGCAATGTACTACAAACTATACAGATACATGAGTTTAAGGATTTCTATACTTTTATATTTAACTTAAAAGGTGTAAGATAGAAAGTATGTAATGAGTATTAGGCAGAAATATGGAAATAAGATCAGGAATTTAAGACAGTAATATTTGGTATATTATCTTATGTCTAGATGTATATGGTACATACAATCTTGATCATTATTTGGTATGCCTTAAAACTCATTGAATGGTGTTATAGGTATTCCGTCATAGGAAGCTGAAAGACCTCATGAACAGCAGGACAGAAAGGATTGTTAAATATTTAAATATGTGAAATTTATGAAAATATATATGGATATAGACTTTTGTAATAAAGTGTGTATTATTTAATTATGCATTTTGGGTTTGTAAAGGGATGAATATGTATGGGATAATTTATTATTAATTAAGGTTAATATATTGCATAGGTAACATATGATATATTTAACTATGAATTATTATTTATAATGTTAATATATTGTATAGGTAACATATGATATATTTAATTATGAATGAGAATTTGAAGGAATTGAAGTATGATGAAGTCAGAATAATATCTATAATGTTAGATGTGGATAGTTATTTTGATTTAGTGTCTGCATTTAGTGTATATATAAATTGGATAGGAATTTGTATGATACATTAGATGGTGTATAATATTTTTTTTTCCAAATTATGAAATCTTTATATTTAATATATATATTTTTTTTTAAATTATAAATTTTTATAAGAAGTTTTATTTGCAATTATTATATTATTTGTGTGGTATGCAATGATGTGAAGGGAAAATATTTTTACAGATAAGGTCAGCCCGTGTTGATGGGTATGCCTTGAAGTGAGAATATTGTTTAGTTTGCATACTGGGGAAAGTTTTTTTTTGTAAATTTATGCTGCATAATACATTTTTTTAAATCTTTTTAATAATTTTATAACACATCACATTTTACTATTTAATTATGAACATATTTTTAAAGAAAAGACTCAAATTATTTTATATTGTGAAGGTATATTAAAAATTCTTTACATATATACCATATAGCCCATTATATTATCAATTTTTGTTACTTTGCATTCTACATTTTTGTGAATTTGTGCTAATTGTGATGACAGAGTTAGGTAGAAATGGTATATTTTTCTTAGGATACTGAGTAATTCCTAGATCAATATTAAGGTGGATATAAATCAATATACGTCCAGATTGTCTGTGGTATCGTATCCCATCAATCTTAATAGGTTGTGGAATTTACCGATCGAGCCGCTACCGACCGCTGGCGCTGGCGGGGGCATGATAGCGTGGTCGCGGGGCGATACCCTATTCGCGAAGAGGTTGGCCATAAGAATGGGGTCGCCTCCAACATCGAATTGTTGGACATCTGGTAAGTAATTGTTATCGTTATAATTTATTATTTCACGATCATTACGCCGTTCCTATCCCAGAAATTTTTGAGGAAACCACGAACGTTAGCCTAAAGATTGAAAAGCATAATAAAGGACGCCTCAGAAATAACTCTGCACCGTCAGATAATACTAGAGCAATGTCCGAATCAGCGAGAACTCAACTAAAAGCCGACTTGGATGCAGTCAAAGTACGTCTAGAAACCATAGCCACAGAATCGACTGGAAAAATGGATCTTATGGAAATACTTAATTCATTTTCTGTAAAATCATTCTCTATAAAATTCTATAAAATTATTCTCTATAAAATCCTTCTCTATGAAATAATTCTCTCTAAAACAATTGTCTGTAAAATATTCTCTAAAAAATAATTCTCTGTAAAACAATTCTCTGTAAAATATTCTCTATAAAATCATTCTCTATAAACGAGATTCTCTATAAACGACATTCAAATATAATTGTTTTCTCTATATAAAAGTTTCTCAATAAAATAAATTCTCTATAAAATCATTCTCTAGAAAAGACATTCTATATAATTGTTTTCTCTTTAAAAGTTTCTCTATAAAATAAATTATAAAATCATTCTCTATAAACGAGATTCTCTATAAAATCATTCTCTATAAATGAGATTCTCTATAATTGTTTTATTCTTTATAAAATCCTTCTCTATAAAATAATTCTCTCTAAAACAATTCTCTGTAAAATATTCTCTATAAAATAATTCTCTGTAAAACAATTCTCTGTAAAATATTCTCTATAAAATCATTCTCTATAAACGAGATTCTCTATAAACGACATTTAAATATAATTGTTTTCTATATAAAAGTTTCTCTATAAAATAAATTCTCTATAAAATCATTCTCTATAAAATCAATTCTCTATAAAATCATTCTCTATAAAATCATTCTCTATAAAATCATTCTCTATAAAATCATTCTCTATAAAATCATTCTCTATAAAATCATTCTCTATAAAATCATTCTCTATAAAATCATTCTCTATAAAATCATTCTCTATAAAATCATTCTCTATAAAATCATTCTCTATAAAATCATTCTCTATAAAATCATTCTCTATAAAATCATTCTCTATAAAATCATTCTCTATAAAATCATTCTCTATAAAATCATTCTCTATAAAATCATTCTCTATAAAATCATTCTTTATAAAATCATTCTCTATAAACGACATTCTATATAATTGTTTTCTCTTTAAAAGTTTCTCTATAAAATAAATTCTCTATAAAATCATTCTCTATAAACGAGATTCTCTATAAAATCATTCTCTATAAATGAGATTCTCTATAATTGTTTTCTCTTTAAAAGTTTCTCTATAAAATAAATTCTCTATAAAATCATTCTCTATAAACGAGATTCTCTACGAAATCATTCTCTATAAATGAGATTCTCTATAAACGACATTCTCTATAATTGATTTCTCTTTAAAAGTTTCTCTATAAAATAAATTCTCTATAAAATCATTCTCTATAAACGATATTCTTTATAAACGACATTCTCTACAATTGTTTTCTCTATAAAAGTTTCTCTATATTTGCATTCTCTATAAAAGATTCTCTGTAAAGACGGGATACCCATGATACGAAAGGCTAAAAAATAATATTGAAAATAAAAATAACAAAGAAAATGATTAATGTGTAATTTGATTGATTTATTGCTTTTTTTACGAGAAAAATATTATAATAACATTACATTATAATATATTAAAAAAATGGAAATTTTAAGATCTTTTCAATTTTTTTATTAATTCTTTGAAATAAATTACGGTTTTAATTTTATTTGTAGTGTTGTAAACGAACGCGTTCAACGAAGTTCGTTTTTTTGAAAAAAGGTGATGAACGGCGTTCCTTTTTTTTGACGAACTTTGAACGTGAACGCGTTCCTTTTCTTTGATGAACGCGTTCAATTTTACGTTCGTTCAATTTTAAAAACACTTTTTATTTTTATTTATTTGAAAAATTAATATTAATCCGCATTTTTTAACAAAAAAGCTTATATTTTTATTTATTTGAAAAATTAATATTTAATCTAATTTTTTAACAAAAAAGTCTTATATTTTTTTAATCAGCTGTTTTTACTTTTTCCTTTTTCTTATTGCAATTAACGTACCATAGTGCTACTGCTAGAGAAGATAAGATTAAAGTTTATTAATTTGAATATTTTATATTTTAATTTAATAGATTAGCATTTGCATGGATATAAATATTTCATCATCAGATTCTGAAAATCAAAATTCAATATTAGATGAATTAGAATTACCATGGCCCAAATATCAAAAATATTTCACTGTTTTAAAATCAATTCCGAGATATCCTTTTTTTTGACGAGGAAGAAGAGGGCAGATTGGAGGATGATAACATAGCTCAATTTTTTGAAACAATGGATAAAACATTAAATGTTTTTAATAAATTCCCCCTTTTAAAAGAATTGTTTATCAAGTATAACACCGCAATCCCTTCAT